TGCTGCAATGTTTCGTTCGTTTTGCAACATGCCACAAATCGTCGAAAAAAACAACACTTCGACGGAAGCTTGCGTAATAAGGGGGTTAAAACAAGAAAACAAATGCCATGTTTAATACATATCGACCTGTTTTACTTGCGAAAGATAACGGAACATGAACTCGTTTCGTGCGACTTCGGAACCCGAAGGAACACACCAACAACGTTGAATTTACCCGCTATCTTCCAAATATGGTATATTAATTTATTCAGTTGTTTATTTAGAGTGACGTCCGCGGTCGAATGCGATTGGCTATCGATGTCAGTGCAAAGGTCATATGAATATTAAAATTAAGTGGGCGGAAGGAAAATTGTATAGGAGACAAGCTGGAGTCTCGTGTGGCGATAGCGATAACACCGGGACGAATGGTCTGGGGTAGCACATAAATAATGATAACATATATTGAATGCATCTAACCAATACCGGGCAGTAATTACATATGCACATAAATAATGATAACATATATTGAATGCATCTAACCAATGTCGGTCTGTAATTAGATATGCACATAAATAATGATAACATATATTGAAATGCATCTAACCAATGCCGGGCAGTAATTACATATGTGCATAAATAATGATAAGATATATTGAAATGCATCTAACCAATGTCGGTCTGTAATTAGATATGCACATAAATAATGATAACATATATTGAATGCATCTAACCAATGCCGGGCAGTAATTAGATATGCACATAAATAATGATAACATATATTGAATGCATCTAACCAATGTCGGTCTGTAATTAGATATGCACATAAATAATGATAACATATATTGAAATGCATCTAACCAATACCGGGCAGTAATTACATATGCACATAAATAATGATAACATATATTGAATGCATCTAACCAATACCGGGCAGTAATTACATATGCACATAAATAATGATAACATATATTGAATGCATCTAACCAATGTCGGTCTGTAATTAGATATGCACATAAATAATGATAACATATATTGAAATGCATCTAACCAATGCCGGGCAGTAATTACATATGTGCATAAATAATGATAACATATATTGAATGCATCTAACCAATGCCGGGCAGTAATTAGATATGCACATAAATAATGATAACATATATTGAAATGCATCTAACCAATGCCGAGCAGTACTATCAATTGCAATGACAAAACAAACGTGGAAACCTGGCTTGTGCATATTACAATTCTCATATGACCATGCAGTGTATATCATTTGCAGATATCAAGTTCAATATGAGATACCGCTGCCGATGTGATATGGTAACCACCAGTATATTTATGCTTTCTGTCAGTTTCTTATGAGTAATCAATTAGTGTGCAGTGAAAAACAAATCAGGTGACAAAGCCATATTTTTTACTGCAACATGAGAATTGCAGACTTGAAATGAATATTTACTGAGAAGACGTTGCTAAGAATTCAAAATATTCCTGTCAAGTATCAAAACTCACTGGTGTCTGTAACTGTCAATACACTTCCAATCCTAATTGATATAGAGTTCTGCAACATTACAAATTCAAATCTTTTTGACCAACTCTATCACCTGATACCACTTGTTCAGGAGGTGGTCGATACAAGTGATGTCATGGGATGTATAAATAAGCCTATGAATATGACACTACCTTATATTATTGCCTAACATTCATCACCTGAGAGACTATATCGTGTGACATAATCATGTGATTTAGGTTGTATAACTACTCTTCTTGATCTTATTATTTCATTCATGGGTTTCAGATTATAAGATTTCATTTCTGTGCGCACATTTTTTATTTGGTTGATTAAGTAGACATGCATGGAGGATAACTGTCTGATTTGCACAAGTTCACACAGTCATTGCTAAAGTTTTTTTCCATAATCCGGTACATAAATAAGTTTAAAAAGCGCATATGTGGGAAGGAGAAATCCGGATTAAAATTCCCAGTTGCATAATCCACTTAGCAAACAAATTTCACATGCGTAGCTGATCTTGTATATCATAACTTTCAGATTATGTAAATATTGTGTACATGTACATGTGTTTGACATACAGTGAATTGATGATTTGGAAACCAGATTTTCACCCATATCTCAAAAAATATTTATGTGCAACAAAACCCATTAAGCTCTTTAAAGAGGTACCCATGTTTGAAAACAATCTAATGGAAAGTAGTTGAGTTTTAATGGCCACAAAACAATTGCTAATGAGACATTTTTGCCAATACCATACACTCTTTAGTATTAGTGCAGGCAAAGTAAAAAGAAAATCAACTTGAATGACTTCCATGGTAACCGCCTGTATATAATTACTTGAATACAAGTATATATATATAAATAAAAACAAAGAATAACCCCGCAGTTATATGGGAACCAAATTACCGTAGTAACAGAATGGTTTTATATTGCTATGAAGTTTTGTCATCAACCATCAATTGTAGTTCATGTTCAGTTGGTGATTGGTTACTATGGTTACTCTCTCCATCATCTGAAGCATTATCTGATGACTCACTGCTGTCATAGAGACGAGAACCTTCAATCGCTCTCCTCACCTGTAAAACAAAACATATCAAATTTAGAATCACCTAGCATGTGGTATATTCATTGAATCCTGTATCTTGAACTTTTTTACAACTTACTTAAAATATGAATAAATGAAATACTGCATTTTCTTTATTAGTACTAGATACACTTACATAAATGACAGAGGTGTTTCTATGGTAATATTTAAATGACTCAGTTGACAATACCGGGTAAATACAATTTTTGGTTTTAATAAGTTAAACCAAGCATGAATATCCAGTCTTAGATGGACTGTTTTAAATACATAAATTACAAACAAACAGACGATCATAATGAATAAGTTATTATAATGCAGAATTTTTAAAACACCTTGAATAATGCACAAATTCTAGGCTAATTAACTACAAATATAAATTCTAGGCTAATTAACTACAAATATATTCAATAATACCATACTAGAAGAGATACAATACTCATACACTTGAAGCAATACATTAAAAACATCAAAATAAGTGAACTTACTTCTTTGAGTGATAATACTCCAACCAATCGCCCTAGTGTTGTGACATATGCATGATTAAGTCCCAGCAATGAAAAAAGAGAGTGTACCTAGAAAAATACAAACATGTCACACTGTCACACATCAAATTATACAGACTGTAATTGTTAGGTACACTGCAAAGTGTAAACTTATAATGAATTGTTTCAGCAAATTAATTTTAAGAAGGAAACTTTTTGTGGTTAAAAACCTACAATTGACCAAATTTTATTACTACCGGTAGCAATTAAAAAAACTGAATTGTCCTGAAAAAGCACTATTCAACATGTACTTTTACAATTCAGATTTGTAGGTTTCACACTACTATTATAATTTGTAACAATGACGGAATCACGCAAACTACTTTAGATGTACATACATGTATGTACTGAATCATTCTTTCAGTGAAAATAGCGGAAATTATAATTCCAAGCGAAAATGAAGTATTCTATAGTATCAGAATGATTAACACATTGAAATACTCAGTTGCACCAACTTTAGCGTAAATACCTATTTTGTGACTTCAACAACTATCACAATACTGTTTACTATATGATTTTAAAAATAGAAAAACACATTTTTCAGTTTACGTGTAATTGCCTCTAAGTGTTAAAATAGCCATTTTTATATTGTCCTCCATGTGGAGTTCAACTATGGGGAGTCTAATGTGGGATATATGGTATGCTGACACATAGCATGTCTGGAGATATGCAGGCAGTCATGTATAAAATTTCCTTCACAACCAAATGTCTGATTTTGTTTTAGCAATATTTCTCTACACCAACTCAATAAACTTACTTTACATAATGATGTTTTTTCCACCAGCTGGAAAGGAGCCGGATCAATCTGACATTCGTCGAAAATGATTTGATGTTGGAGTCTATCATTCTCCCATGACGCTTGCTGCAGAAATTAAGATAAAAACACTCAATGTTTGCACTACACTTGTAATACAAATATCTTGAAAATATTACCATAAATAAATTGACACATTGAACACTATAATTTTTCAAACTAAAATCATTATTAACTTTTTAATTTTTTCACTAAATAGACATAATTTCTTATTGATTACATGGCAGTACATGTATGAACAATTTTTTTTAAATATGGCATAAATCCAGATTTATACAATAGCTGACTTTGGCATACAGATTGTTAAATCGTGAGGCCCTAAATAATTATTATGCATGTATTAAAGTGACATAAACAACTTCTTTGTGTCAAGAAATACCGGTAGCTTTCCTGCGTGGAAATGGTTTTTTTTTATGAAAGAAATATCAATTGTCCAATTTATTGCAATTAGGTACTTTCCCGTGAGTGTAAAATAAAATCAGAGATGAGCAGCATAAACACCAAAGAGGATGATGGGTAATACAGGGTTCTGGGTAATGAAGGTTTCTGGGTAATATGAAGTACAACAATTTGCATTCATAACATATTAGGAGTGCAAAAAATCTCATTAGCATATGGGTCATTCCATTCAGATGAAGGGAGAACATGTTAAAACTCAAGAACTAACCTCTTCAGGTGTCATATCATAAATGCCTTTGTCTACCTGCTGGGGATCAAAATATGCATGCTTATAAAAAAAAAGGTAAGAAACAAGAAAACATGCAAAAAATGTTTTTCCAGTTTTTGCATGCAAGGACTATTAACAACTAGATAAGCAGCAACATCAAATATTAGTGAACACTCCTATAACAAAAATGGTGCAGTCCAGTATCTTGCACATTTGTTAGAATCACAACAACAGTCAAACATTAGAGGCACTGTATTTTATAGTTAAAGTTGCATAGTCATGACTTTTGTGGGTTTTTTTCTCTCAAATCAACATTGTTATGACAGATAGTGGTAAGCATAAGAAAATATTAAATTTGTATCACCAGTAAAATAGTGTTTAAAGCTATGTCATGTTAAATGTGTACAGTGATAAATGCAATAGCCACAGTATTTGCAAGATATTGACATCGCTATTTTGATGTGACTTTTCAGTGATTTCTTATGAATCACAAGGTTTGCAGTCTGAACAAAGTGCAATTTATTAGAAGTTTGATAACACACATTTTTTTGTTCACATGACTGTACATCTATAAATATAAGAACAAACCACACAGGGAAGGAGTGCCAGTCACATGTAAGTCACATGTAAGTGGGAAAAGATCACATGATCAGTGCATGGATGGTGAATGTTGTCACACAAAATTACCCACTCTACCGACTTGCTGGAATTGTGCAGCATATCCCCTAAGTTTGCCAAGTTATGAAACTCCTTTAATTCATACATAAAAACCAAATTAGCATATAATTGTATCCAATTTGAATGAAAAATATCAGCATTTATATAAATGAAATTATGAGTCATCATATCAGGAGATACAGTATGTCCTCTATTGAAAATAAAGTGCTTATAATTAATCTCCACTTTTATTTTTGTTTTGAAGTGCTGGCAACAAATTTTGAGTGAATTTTAAATAGAGTATGCAGGTACTGTGGAATACTTTATTTTCGCTGGAATTAATTTTCGCTGAAAAGGCTTTTTGGGCGTTTTGTATGGAATTTATTTTCACTGATTTTTGATGAGTTTAATGTGAAGATAGGAAAAAAAGTATATTCGCTGGATTTTATTTTCACTGA